CCCAAGGGGACAGCTTGAGGCTCTGTCTCAAAAAAAAAAAAAAAAGAAAAAGCATATTAAAAATGGTAAAGCCCACTTCATTCAGGGACTACAGTGATTGGGTTCTGCAATAGGGGAGAGAGATGGGACTCAATTCTGAATAAAAGAACAAGTGGGGATTCATAGCACAGGAGCAGGGATGGGGGTTGGTGCATGACTGATTCCTAAGAGGATAGGGAAAGTCTTTGCTAAACTGACCTAACAGGATTCTTGCTGGAAAGAGTAGTTTCATATCATTCTAAAACTAAGGTCATTTCTTGGTAGACACCTGTATTATTTAACTTGATTATAGTTACCAATCCTACATGGCAGGTCAGTTTGTTCTGTTCCCTGAGGTTACATCTTGCAACCAGCTTATCATCTTGAAAGGCTCACCAGGAGGTTAGGCTGTTTAAAGTGCTTTATAAAATGCTTTTCTGGGATTGTTTTTAATGGTTGATATAAGCTCCTAATAATGTATCAATTTTTGAAAAGTTGTAGAATAAAATTATTAGTCATAATCTGTAGCAGGTAGCCCAGAATAACTGGGTCCTTGATGATTCTTCACCCCTGAATTGGAGGGAACTCCAGAATCTTTGAGGAGAATCTGACACTGCCCCTCACCTTATATGGAGTGATCCAGTTCTCACACCATACATATTTCAGGCCTTTCCATTTTGAGTGGCAAGAGTACCTTTCCTCTGTTATTTACGTGAAGCATCAGGTGTGCTGTTTAAACACAGAGCCATCTGCTCTGTCAGGCAGCCAGCCTCGGCTAAGGTGGGTTTGTCCTCTTAGGCTGGGGTAGCGGTGATTCTACTTTCGAGGGTGTGTGTGTGTTTGGGTGTAGAGGGATCCCCTTATCTGAGAACATTATCACTGGAGAAGATGTTGGGTATGTATCTGTTAAGTGAATGGGGGTGGTGCCTTTCCAGGGGTTCTCAACCTTGCTAATGCCTCCTAATGCCATGACCCTTTAATACAGTTCCTCATGTTGGGGTGACCCCCCAACCATAAAATTATTTTCATTGCTGCTTCATAACTGTAATTTTGCTACTGTTATGAATAGTAATGTAAACATCTGATGTGCAGGATGTATTTTCATTGTTACAAAGGGGTCGCGACCCACAGGTTGAGAAACGCTGCTTTAGACTATTCAGAATGCTTTAGGTTTCTGAAGGCTACAGCTCTGAAAGTCAGGAGACAAGGGTTTTAATCTAGAGTCTGCTATAGTACTCTCCTGGGCTCAGTCACTTCTCTGGGACTGGCAATCCTTGTTTGTAAATTAAGATTGTTGATATCTCACAGGCCTCTTCAAATTTTGAAAATTTGTTCTAAAATGCAAAAAATTCTCTCAAAATTTGCTGGGCTAGTCTATAGGGAAGACAGACTTTATAGTAATGGTTTGGGGTATATGGTGTCATGAAAGTACTAATATTCTTTTCACTGTCCAGGTTAGCGATTTACTGTGTAGAAAATTAGAAATGAAACAGGCAGTTTCCCAAAGCAAGTCATTATTTGGTGTTAATAAATGGTCATTCTCAACTAACACCCCACATTTCCTTAAGAGAACCTGATAACCTTCATGCTGGGTCTGTCAAGGTAGAAGTCACATAGGTGAGTAAAATAGTAACACAGGTGTAGTTGGGTGTTGGAGTTTTTCCTATCCCAAAGCCACTTCTGGTAATGCTGGCAGATTTCAAATCAGTAGTCTGAAAGTAAGGTGCTCTAGGCTGAGGTCAAAGTCTAGGCGCTGTGGGCAATTTGAGTACAGCCTGTCTTAGGGAAGACTCTGCTGCCCCTTAGTGGCAGCAGCTCTTAGTTCGTATGTCACAGAATTGAACACTTTACTCCTTTGGGAGGAGCTTCCAATGGCTCATTCACCTTCAATCCCACCCCTTTTCCTGGAGGAGGTGGATAAAGCTCATATTTTGGTGGTATAGTAGTTTCCTGAAGCTGCTATTACAAAGTACCAGGAACTTGTCTGGTACTTCTGTCCTTAAAACAACTGGAAAAAAATTATTTTTTTTTAGCTCAGGAGTTCAAGACCAGCCTGAGCAAGAGTGGAACCTTTCTCCTAAAAATAGAAAAACTAGCCAAGGACAGTGAAAAACAACAGAAATTTATTCCCTCATTATGCAGGAGGCCAGAAGTCAAGGCATCGGGGCTGCAGCCCCTTGGGAGGCTCTAGGGAAGAATCTGTTCTTTGTCCCCTCCTGCTTCTGGTGGCTGTTGACATAACGTACAGTTGTATCGCTCCAGTTTTTGTTTCTGTGGTCACACTGCCTCCTCTTCTGTCTCTCTCCTCAGTGTATCTCTTCTATTATAAGGACACTTGTCATTGGCTTTAGAGCCCACCCAGATATGCCAAATGATCTTATTCAAGGTTTTTAGTTACAGCTACAAAGATCTATTTTCTTATTTTCCAAGTAAGGTCATGTTCATAAGATCCAGGGGGTGCTGTGGACATATCATTTGGGGGCCACCCATTCACTCCACTGTAGGTGGTTAGTGCCGTTTCTCTCCATGCTTTTGTTTTTTGGCTTTGCTGCTAACCTGCTCCACGTACACCTGTGTCTCTGCTGTTTCCAGGTGGTGGCATATGTGGAGCCAGCTTGCACATGGCCCTCCACAGGCTGCTGCTCAGTATACAGCTGCTTCTGTATTATGTGGAGTGATTATATTATTTTCAAATAGCCATTTAGTTTATAGAAAAAAATTGTACCTATTTTGTATTAAAATTTCTAAAATATGGAAAACTTGATAGCTTAAGCCACTAAATTCCACTTAACTAGGATCATTTTGTAACATGTATAAAATCAATTCTGTTTTAAGGCTCTCTTTAATTGCTGCTCTTTATTTCTCTGCAGGTCTCATAGATAACCCTGAACTTCGTGTGGTCCTTATCTTTGGCTATAATTGCTGTAAGATGGGAGCCAGTAATTATCTGCACCGAGTAGTCAGCAGTTTTAGTGATATGAATATCATCTTGGCTGGAGGCCAAGTGGACAACCTGTCATCACTGACTTCTCAAAAGTATGTCTGATTACATCTGATTTCATTCTGTGGGTGAACAGAAATGATCTCAGGTTTTTGTTACTTTGGGTTTTTAACAAAGCACATTTAAAGAATTGTTAAGGTAATAGTTTATCCCATTTTGCAGTAGACATTGGTTAAGGGGCCTCTGCAACACAATTCTGCTTACAGTTGAAGAATTGAATATTTATATATTGTCCTTTCAAAACTTCCTAATTAGACTCACATTCTCAAAATTGAATTTTAGCATTGTCTATTGATCTTTCCTTTGGCAGCTGTGGTACTCTTTGTGACCTTCATATGTCACTTCCTCTCTAGTTCCATTTCCTCCTCTGTAAGAACTGCATGGTTAAGTGGATCTTCATAGCAAAGCTCCCTGAGCCTCTGATATGCTCAATGCTTTGGAAATCCTGAAGAGGAATAATATTAACAGTAGCAGTTCTCTAATCTATTTGGTTACAAAACCTTTTTCCTCAAGTATCTTACAGGGCTTACTGGTATTCCTTGGCACATATTTTTGGAAATTCTGTACTAGATCTTTTGAAAGGCTTTTTGAAGCTCAAAAATTGTAGAATTTTGGGAGCCACCCGTAGCTCAGTAGTTACGGTGCCAGCCACATACACCAAAGCTAGCAAGTTTGAACCAGCCTGGGCCAGCTAAAACAACAATGAAACTGCAACAACAAAAAAATAGCCAGGCATTGTGGCAGGCACCTGTAGTGCCAGCAACTTGGGAGGCTGAGGCAAGAGAATCATTTAAGCCCAAGAGTTTGAGGTTGCTGTGAGCTGTGACACCACTGCACTCTACCCAGGGCCACAGCTTGAGAATCTGTCTCAATAAATAAATAAATAAAAACAAAAAAAAATGTGGAATTTTGATTTTTATTACTAAGCTTTTGCTTTCAAAGGTTAAGTACTTGCTTTTCTATTGTGGGAGCCATTACTCCCTTTCCAGTTTGAGTGAAAGTATGTGGCATTTGAGTTTCAACTAATGAAGTAGACATACATTTATTTTATATTTCTTTTTCAAAAGCAGGAAAATGAGATCCTACGTAACCCCTATTACTTGTGAACACTAGTGTCTGTGTCTCACTATGATTAATGTTTGGTTCTTAGAGTGTGACAGACTATTAGAGACCAGTATCTTTTTTTTTTTTTTTGCAGTTTTTGGCCTGGGCTGGGTTTGAACCTGCCACCTCTGGCATATGGGGCCAGCGCCCTACTCCTTTGAGCCACAGGCACTGCCCAGAGACCAGTATCTTTAAGAGTGATGTGAATCATTCTAGTGACAGTCTCTCTCCTGGTAGTCTCTGTTGATGAATCTGGGAAAGCAAACAGCTAAATTTGGGGCCATTGGACTGCCAGTGAGGAAGAAGGGAGAAAAGCCAAGTGCATTAATTCCAGGAAGCAGGATATCAAACACTGAATTTCATGCATACATACGCCTGATTCTTGGTATCTAAGGTTATTTCCCCTCTTGCCTAATTTCTCCCATGTCTTTGTGATTACCTTTAAATTGTATACAGATAAGGCAGTGGTGACTTAATATACAACTTACCTTTGTAATGCAAATACATGTAACTCACTTAGACTTACAACATTTGAGGTACCATACTGTTAGTGTGGCTATTTGTATACAATCTACTCTTTATACCTAATGTGGGAAATATACCTCTCAAAAGTATTCCTTATATAACACATTAATTTTAACGTGGTCTTCATACTACATCAATGGGTAAGAGAAGCCATTGAGTGATGTATTTTAATGGTGCCCATATAACCCAACCTACCTCATCCCCCAGAAAGATAGGTAAATAATTCTTTGAGGTAAGAGATTGACAACATATAATAGCATATCCAAAGAGGAAACATGATGATAAAAAAAATCAGAGGATTTCGGAAGATGGATTTTGCCCTTCACAAATTGGTTTTGCTACTACTTAACCTTATTCTCTTCATCATGGAACCTATTTGAGCCTTAAGTTTCTTGCTAACCCAGTGAATCTTGCCTATTGTATATTTATATGGTAAACATGATAAAAATGTAATGTATGTACTTGTTTCTCCCCCAGTGGGTGCTCACTACATTATGTTTTATAACTTTTATCAACATTATATTTTCTTTTGTAGGGATCAAATATTTCATTTTAAAAATACGATGAAAGTACAAAAGAATACATGAGTTTTACCATCAGGTTAAGCCAAAAAGCAATGTAATCATATAATGGACCATTGTAATCATATAGTACCTAATGGCCCAAGCAAAGCTAGAACTTCTGGAGTTAACAGGTTTTCTACATTACCCTCCATGATTATATTTTTAATATGCCTCTTTAGAATTTGATAGCTGGAGAGTATGTTAATGATAGAAGATGAAAAAGATTCATTTAATCATCTTTATATATAGGAAATAAAAGGTTCCTTTTAAAAGGAGGTCAGAAAAGTAAGGGCATCTACTAGAGTGTCCAGGCTCTGGCCAGGCCGCATGCTGATTCTGTGAGGACGTCTTTGCTTCTCTGTGGTGTAGGATTTTGGGAAAAGTATGCATAGACCCTTTTTTATTGTTAATCATTTTTTTTAGTGTTTGTGTATTTTATGTGTGGTTCAAGAGAACTCTTCTTGCAATGTGCAGCAGAGAAAAAAGGTTGGACACCCCTGCACCTTCTCATGCCCCACAGTGTGTTTTAGAAATCTTCGTGGATGTGCATTGCCCCTTTGTAATTTTTTTTTTTTTTTTTGTCGTTTTTGTCCAGGGCCAGGTTTGAACCTGCCACCTCTGGTATATGGGGCCAGCGCCCCACTCCTTTGAGCCACAGGCCTCGCCTGCCCCTTTGTATTTGTGATTGAAAAAAAAAATAGTAGTGTAACTTCTCTTGAACTGTATTTTTTTAATGTATTAATTTTAATAGTTCATTTAACCCGAATTATATTCCTCTTATTTGGGAAGATGAACATCAGGTTAACTATAGGCTGCTAAAGTCAGCAGCCACCCATTAATGAATGAGGAGGATTTTTCTTTTCCTCTTACACTTTAGATTTCTAATTTTGCTTCATGATACCATACCACTTTTCTCATTTCATTTTCCAGGAACCCTGTGGATCTTGATGCCACTGGTGTTGTTGGGCTATCATTTAGTGGACTCCGAATCCAAAGCGCCACCGTGCTCCTCAACGAGGATGTCACTGATGAGAAGTCTGCCGAGGCTGCGATGCAGCGCCTCAAAGCTGCCAACATTCCCGAGCAGAACACCATCGGCTTCATGTTTGCATGCGTTGGCAGGGGCTTTCAGTATTATAGAGCCAAGGGGAATGTTGAGGCTGATGCATTTAGAAAGTTTTTTCCTAGTGTTCCCTTATTTGGCTTCTTTGGAAATGGAGAAATTGGATGTGATCGGATAGTCACTGGGAACTTTATATTGAGGAAATGTAATGAGGTAAAGGATGATGATCTGTTTCATAGCTACACAACAATAATGGCACTCATTCATCTGGGGTCATCTAAATAACAACATCTTTAAAGTGGCTTTCACAACACATAACTTTTGGGTTCTGCCTTTTCCAGAAAATGGAAACTTGGGATATGCATATTCAAACAAAAATACTTTAGATATGTCTGTTTTATAGCTTTGTTTGATTGATGCTCTAAAATTACATTGGGGTAGTTTTTAATTGTGTGTAACATAACACAGACCAAAAGTTGAGAGCTTTTGTGTCTTGCACGAGCAAACTTACTACAGCAGTACCACACCAGATCCTGTGTACGGTGGCATTAAATAGTTCCCTACATAGGGGAAACCACAAGGGGCTCCATCAATAGGATGGAGATGTCAGACATTCCACACTGCCTGCTTGTATTGTTAGGTGATCTTTTAGCAGAATCATGAAGATATTTTTTTTCTCATGTTAAGAAAGGAAAAAAATATACAGATGACTTGTTTGAAAAATAGTTCTCTGCTTTTTAATTTTATGAATTTTTTCAAAAGTTGTAATAATATTACTGACTTTTGACTTATTTGGTAAAAATTAAATGTTTTTGTTTTAGTACTCTAAATTTGTTGAGTCAGAAAAATTGCCAAGACTAATAATCAGTATTTTATTTTATGAGTAAAACATTTTCCTTTTTTCCTCAATAAAGAAATTGCAAGAGAAAATCTTTTTTTTTTTCACCTAGTTGTATGTAGCTGATTGGCAGACCAGAGAATTATATCGCCTTCTTTTGGTTTCATGCCAATAAACATACCTTGGAAACTCATTCAGATAGTGGTGTGCATTTCATTGCTTTTGGTGGGTGAACAAAGGAAGTAAGCTAACACATTATAAACAAAAACCCAGAATAGTAGGTATTTGTCAACTAGGCAATGCTGTCATATTCCCAAAAGAATGATATTCAAGTGTGAATTTCTAATTCCACAAATATCTGAATAGGTAACGTGCAGATAACACCAATTTTCTCTCATTATCCTTGCTTTCCTTTGCACACATTGATAACCTTTAGTTTTTCAGTTAGGCCCGTGCCTTCCAGAACAGACTACATTTACTAGTCACCTGTGTACATGTGATCGTGTTCTGGACAGCAGAATGGGAGGGGGAAATGATATGTGTGCTTCTAAAGTCTGTGATCTCCCCTGCCACTTCTCCATTCTGTTACTTGGAAGGTGGAGCTGGTAGTGAGCCAGCCTTGACCCTGCAGTGGAGGCAGCGCCCCCCTGTGGCAGAGAGCCACAGACTGACCCCAGGTCCTTGTACAAGCTCTGCCATTTTGTGACTGGACTACTTACCTCCAGACTGTTTTATAAGAGAGAAATTAATAGCAGGCTTGTGTAAGCCATTGTTTGTTTTTTTCTTTCTTTCAGGTCTGTTGCAGGATATCCTTATATTAACATACCCTACCTAATACAGTATCATGTAACTAATGTATGGCAGTTTTGTAATGGTCAGTGGTTTGTTCTAATAGGAAGGTAGCCAAACCATCCTTTTAATTGCGGGTAAGTAAAACTCAAACATTCTTGCTTTTCAGTTTTTATCACTTTCCTACTAATTTTTACCTCAAAAAGAGTTTTCTCTTGTTATTTATATGATAAAAATACTTAAATACTTAAGAGATTCCTTTATTTTATGGTTACTTTAAATCTTAGTTCCTGAGGAAAGTCCAAAGAAAAGTTTGATTGTCAGAACTTTTTTTTTTGAGACAAGAGTTTCTCACTGTGTTGCCACTGTGGTGGTTCACCGCTCACAGCAACCTCAAACTCTTGGGCATAAACAATTCTCTTGCCTCAGCCTCCCAAGTAGCTGGGGACTACAGGTGCCTGCCACAATTCTTGGCTAATTTTTCTGTTTTTAGTAGAGATGGTGTCTTACTCTTGCTCAGGCTGGTCTTGACTTCTTGAGCTCAGGCGATCTACCCGCCTCAGCCTCCCAGAAAGCTAGGATTACATACATGAGCCAATTCACCTAGCCAGGATAATTTCATATCAGTATAGGGTTCCTTTATATAGTTTAGCCTTTTGAGCTTGTTAAGAACAATAAATTAATTGGGTTATATGACTGCAATCTTAGTGCAGAGTAGAAAGGGGAGAAGTAACCAATAGAAACAACAATAGTACTAACAGAAGTCATCCTCCCTGCCTCTCAAAAGGCCTCAAAGTTATGTGGAAGGAGAACAGTTAAATTAGGACGTTTTAAAGCTCTGTAACTAATTTATTACAATTTTGAAAGCCTTGTCTTTAAAAAAAAAAAAAAGGCTCAGCTCTGGTAGCACAGTGGTTATAGTACATGGAGGCTGGCGGGTTCAAACCCAGCCCGGGCCAGCTAAACAACATTGACAACTGCAATCAAAAAATAGCCAGGTGTTGTGGCGGGCGCCTATAGTCCCAGCTACTTGGGAGGCTGAAGCAAGAGAATCGCTTGAGCCTAAGAGTTTGAGGTTGCTGTGAGCTGTGATGCCATGGCACTCTACCAAGGATGACATGGTGAGACTGTCTCCAAAAAAAAAGTGGGCAGTGCCTATGGCTCAAAGGAGTAGGGCGCTGGCCCCATATGCTGGAGGTGGCAGGTTCAAACCTAGCCCCAGCCAAAAACTGCAAAAAAAAAAAAAAATGGCAAGCTTTAAAGAAATAATTATTGTTTTGCCCAAAACCAAACTAAATTCCTTGAGATGACAACCACTGTGTTTCTTTATGAAACAAGAAAATGATCACATGAAAAAATTGAGGTGAGCACAAAAAGAGAAGTAAAGGATATCCTTAGTGAACGTACTGAGTGGCCAGCCTTCTCTCAGATAAAGATCAGATTACAGAATGGTTTATTGAATCAAGATATTAACAAATATGGATTTTCAAAGCAAAATCATTTCTGGGGCTACAGTTTACTGTATAAAAGGCTCCATCAAGGAATTATATGTACATTCCCTTTGATCCAAGGGAGGGAAAGCCCTCAGCAGCCAAATAGAAATCTTAAGGAAGAGGGAAAGTAGAGTCGGAATTAAGACTGAGGCTAGACCCACCCTGCAGAGTGATACGGTGGGAGATCCGTTAAGCTGCTCTTACTGGATACAATGGCGGATCCAGTTATCTTGATTCTGCTTATGCCTGGATCATCTCAACATAGGCCAAATAGCAGAAGATTTGCCACTGATTCATGTCACAAATTGAACAAAATGAACATGCATAGAATTACAATAGAACTAACTCTCACAAGTCTGAGAACTTTCTATGTAATCTACAGAAATTTTTAAGAAAAAAAATAAATGAGCTTTTGTTATTTTATACCCACATAGTATGTCCCAAGGTTGTACTGCTATGAATTCAGTTTTAACAGGAACAGAAGTCTCCAGATACTCTGGATGAGAAATCATGATATTAGATGATTGCCTTTTCGGAAACTGGGTATGACTTGGCTTAATGAAAGTCCTAAAAATAATAAAGAAAATATAATAAGCATTAGTAATAACATCCTTGTTAAATAAACAAAATTAGTACCTATACTGTGTAAAGAATGTGTTACCAGAAAGTTATCTTAATATTGGGCCTATATAGGGCAGAATAGTCAAATTATTTGCAAAACATGTTATTTTTGTTTTATATATTTCACTGCTGCTTTTCACCACAACTGAAGACAAGTTATAAGAACATGTACTACTACAAACTACAAAACATTGGCAGAAGCCAAAAGATGTCATTTATTGTTTTGGTACTGACAGTGTATGAGGCACTTTCTTTCTTTTCTTTCTTTTCCTCTTTCCCTCCTCCCTCCCTTGCTCCCTTCCTTGTCTTTCTTTCTTTTTCTTTTTAATGATATGAGGTCTCACTCTGTCACCCAGGCTGGAGTGCAGTGGCACAGTCATAGCTCACTGCAGCCTCAAACTCCTGGGCTCAAACATTCCTCCTGTCTCAGCCTCTCATGTAGCTATAACTAATCACAATTTCAAAAGGCTTATCTTAAAAAAAAAAAAAAGAGCAAGCACTAAAGGAATAATTATTGTAACAGCAAAACCAAACTAAATTCCTAAAGATGACAACCATCATGGTCTTTTATGAAATAAAAAAAAATGATCACATGAAAAAATTGAGGCAAGTACAAAAAGGGACTACAAGGGTGTGCCACCAAACCTGGATAATTTTTCTTATATTTGTAGAGACAGGGTCTTGTGCTGCCCAGGCTGATATTGAATCCCTGGGTTCAAGTATTCCTCCCACCTTGGCCTCCAAAAGTGCTGTGATTCTCTTGATTCTGCTTACGTCTGTATCATCTCAACATAGGCCCAATAGCAGAAGATTCGCCACTGATTCATATTACAAATTTAATAAAATAAACATGCAAAGAACTACAATAGAACTAACTCTCACAAGTCTGAGAACTTTCTATGTAATCTATAGAAATTTTTAAGAAAAAATAAATGAGCTTTTGTTATTTTATACCCACACAGTATAAGGCATCAGGCCTGGCCACATTTTCATTCCTTAAGCAGATTTCTTTTTTTTTTTTTTTTTTCCCAGTTTTTTGGCTGGGGCCAGGTTTGAACCCACCACCTCCAATATATGGCACTGGCACCCTCCTCCTTTAAGCCACAGGAACTGCCCAGCAGATTTTTTAAAATTTCTTTTAACAAGAGGGTACATACAATTAGGTTCCATTATTTGCATTTGTAAGGTAAAGTCCAAGTGTGCCATATGCCCCACCCCTACATTATACCTGACAGATGGGAACTTAACAAGCCCCATCTCTTGTCTTCAATTTGTTTTTCTCTTCTGTGGGCCTGTAATTGTTGATCTACTAGTTTCAGAAGAGTATAGAATACGTGGGATGTTTGTTTTTCCATTCTTGAGATACTTTTACTGAGGAGAATGTTCTCCAAATCCAATCAAGTAAGTACAAAAGATGTAAAATCTCCATTTTTTTTTTTTTTTTTTTTTGAGACAGTCTCACTATGTCGCCCTCTGTAGAGAATGGTAGTGTCACAGCTCACAGCAACCTCAAACTCTTAGGCTTAAGTGATTCTCTTGCCTCAGCCTCCTAAGTAGCTGGGACTATAGGTGCCCCCCCCCCACAATGCCCAGCTATTTTTTTGTTATAGGTGTCATTGTTTAGCAGGCCCAGGCCAGGTTGGAACCCACCAGCTCCAAGAGTATGTGGCTGGCGCCCTAACCATTGAGCTACAGGTGCCAAGCCAAATCTCCATCTTTTTATAGCTGAATAGTATTCCATGGTATACATATACCACAGTTTATTAATCATTCATGGGTTGATGGACACTTGGGCTGTTTTCACACAGTTGCAGTTGTGAACTGAGCTGTTATAAACATTTGAGTGCAGGTGTCCTTATGGTAAAATGGTTTTTGATTTTTTTTCTTCTTGGTAGATACTTTGTAATGGATTGTAGGATCAAACGAGAGGTCTACTTTTAGTTCGTTGAGAATTCTTTAAACTTCTTTTCAAGAAGTCTGGACTAGTTTGCAGTCTCACCAATAGTACATAGATATTCCCTTCTCTCCATACCCCACCAGCATTTGCAGCTTTGGGGCCTTGTGATGTGCACTGTTCACTGTGGTTTTCATTTTCATTCTCTGATGATTAGGGATGATAAGCACTTTTTCATGTATTTGTTGGCCATTTGTCTGTCTTCTTGGGAAAAGGTTCTGTTCATGTTGCTTGTCCATTGATTGATGGGGTTATTTGCTCTTATTGATTTGCTTGAATTCTTTATATATTCAGGTCACTAGCCATTTGTCCACTTCAAACATACTTTTGTTTGGTGTGTCAAAGATCGGATGGTGATATGAGGCTAGTTTCACCTCTAGGTTCTCTATTCTATTCCGTAGATCTATATCTCTATTTTTATGCCAGTACAATGCTGTTTTGAAACCCTGAAGTCTGGTAATGTGATGCCTCCAGATTGTTTTTATCTTGTTGAACTGCATTGGCTATTTGGGTTTTTTTTCTGGTTCTGTACAAATCAACATACTGATTTTTCAAGTTCTTCAAAGTATGATGGTGGTTTTTAACAGAAACTGCATTAAATATGTAGATAGCTTTAGGTGATATAGACATTTTAACAATATTGATTCTTCCCAGCTATGAGCATAGTATGTTCTTCCATTTGTTAACATCTTCTGCTATTTCTTTTCTCAGGGCTTCAAAGTTCTCTCTGTAAAGATCCTTCACATCCTTTGTTAAGTATATTCCTAGGTATTTCATTTTCTTTGAAGCTACTAAGAAGTGTACTGTGTCTTGGATTTGGTTCTCAACTTGACTGTTGTTGGCATACATGAAGGCTACTGGTTTGTGGACATTGATTTTATATTCTGAGATGTTGTATATTTCTGGATCACTTGCAGGAGTCTCATGATTGAGGCCCTTGGTTTTTCTAAGTGTAAGATCATATCATCAGCAAAGACTGAATGTTTGACCTCTTCTGTACCCACTTATATACCCTCGATATCCTTCCCGTGCCTGGCTAGAACTTCCAGAACTATGTTGAATAGTAGTGGCGATAGAAGACAACCTTGTCTAGTTTCTGTTCTAAGTGGAAAAGCTTTCAGTTTTACACCCATTTTATACCCAGTATAAGATTAACTATGAGTTTGTCATAGATGGCTTTGATGAGTTTAAGAAAAGTGCCACCTATGCCTATATTCTTATGTGTTCTTACAAGAAAAGGATGCTGAATTTTATTGAATGCTTTTTCTACACCTATTGAGAGGATCACATGGTCTTTGTTTTTGCTTCTGTTTATGTGGTGAATTACATTTATGGATTTATGTATGTTGAACCAGTCCTGCACCCCAGGGATGAAGCCCACCTGATTGTAATGTATAATTTTTTTATATGTAGCTGCAATCTATTAGCTAAGTTTTTATTGAGTATTTTTGCATCAGTATTCATTAGTGAAATTGGTCTATAGTTCTCCTTTTCTGTTGGGTCCTTTTCTGGTTTTAGTATCAGGGTGATGTTTACATCATAGAATGTGATAAGGAGGGTTCCTTCCTTCTCAATGTTTTAGCGTAGGTTCTGCAATATAGGAACAAGCTCTTTGAAGGTTTGGTAGAATTCTGGTATAAAACCATCTGGTCCAGGACTTTGTTGGAAGGTTTTTTTATTGTTGCAATTTCAGTGCTTGATATTGGTATGTTCAAGAGTTCTGTTTCTTCCTGGTTAAGTCTAGGGAGGTAGGGTGATTCTAGGTAATGGTCCATTTCCTCCATGTTTTCAAATTTCTGAGCATAGAGTTTTTTGTGTTACTCCTGTATCTCTGTGGTATATCTGTTGTATTTCCCCTTTTTCATTTCTGATTGAAGTTATTAGAGATCTTACTTTTCCATTTCTAGTTAATTTAACCAAAGGTTTATCCATTTGGTTAAATTTGGTTTATCCAACTTTTTATCTGTCAGTTTTCCTGAATGGGATCTTTTGTTCTCAATTTCATTTCATTCTGATCTAATTTTGGTATTTCTTTACTTCTGCTAGGTTTAGGATTGGGTTGTTCTTCCTTTCCCAGTTCTTTGAGATGGTTCATTAAGTTGTTGATTTGTGCTTTGTTTTTTGGATATGGGCATTTAATGCAATAGACTTCCCTCTTATGACTGCTTTTGCAGTAACCCACAGGTTTTGATATCTTGTGGCTTTATTGTCATTTTCTTTAAGGAATCTAATGATTTCCTTTATCTCTTCCTTGACCCAGCTGTTGTTCAGCATAAGGTTTAGTTTCCATGACTTTTGGGGGTGAAAGCTTTTGTGGGAGTTGAGTTCTACTTTTATTTTATTGTGACCTGAAAAGATACAGGTATAATTTCTATTTTTTTTTAACATTCTTGAGATTTGATTTGTGTTCTAGGATATGATCAATTTTGGAGAATAATCCATGAGCTGATGAAAAGAACATATACTCAATATTATTGGAGTGGTATGTTCTGTATATGTCTGTTAAGCCTATTTGTTCTAGAGTAATGTTTAAGTCCATCATTTCTTTGTTTTGTTTTTGTTTGGAGGATCTGTCCAGTTCTGTTATTGGGATGTTGAAATTCCCAGCTATTATGATATTATAGGATATCATATTGTCCAGACTGGTTAAGGTTCATTTTCTAAAATTGAGAGCATTTAAGTTGGGTGCATAGATATTTGGGATTGAAATGTCTTCTTCTTGTATTGTTCCCTTGACCAGTATATAGTGTCCACCTTTGTCTTTTTTTTTTTTTTTTTTGCAGTTTTTGGCCGGGGCTGGGTTTAAACCCGCCAGCTCCAGTATGTGGGGCCCGTGCCCTACTCTTTTGAGCCACAGATGCTGCCCACCTTTGTCTTTCTTTACTTTTGTTGCTTTAAAGCCAATTGTGTCTGCAATAGGATTGTGACTCCTGCTTTCTTCTGATTTTCATTTATCTGAAATATTGTTTTCCAACCCTTCACCCTGAGGTTT